TAGAAGAGAGATCGTGAAATGTTAGTTGGGGAAAATGAAACCATCAATTGAAAGATAATTGCGCAACTATTCATTACTATACCTTGGATTTTGACGGTCAACAGGATACCTACTGGCGTCTCATTGCCTCCTCTACCTAGCTTACGTTTCCAAACATTTCTTGGGGAAAACCCAAGAATTCCATTTTTCAAGGATCCTACGGCGTCAACATGTGTTTTGGATTAAATAAATCATATTTCAGAACCATTACACCAGATTTCCACCATTATTTCCACAAAAGCAACGAGATCCGCCCACAATTGCAAGTTCGTTTACAAAATTCTCTATCCCATTGTTTATCCCTGTCCCGTTATGAATTTATGAGTTAAAATTCTAATAGATTCATTAACAGTTGAATACGTTATTTTTTTTTTTTAACAGTAATACTTAAAATATTTATTCTTTCATACAGTATAAATATATAAGGCGCAAATACTTCTAAATACTTTACTTCGAATATCTTCTGCAAGCGTTCTCATTATGCTCTGTATATTTAATGCTCAGCTGGAGGCTCTGTAAGAGGTTTAAATTTCTTAAGTTTCAAGAACTTCGCTACGACAATTTGTGTTCTCAGTCTTTCAAACCAGAAATGGTTATATATCTAGTCATAAACTCGTTTCTTTCCCTCTAAACACACTGTAAGAAACTTTAATTTTGATTACTTTAGCACGAGCCAGAGCATGCGAGGCGAATCTCTATAACATTTACAATATGATATTCGTGATGATTTTCTCACGTGTCTGGAAAATTGAGTGAGTTAAGAAGAAAAATACCAATGATACATTCAAACTCTTTTAAAAATTCGAAGATAGATTTTCAGTTTCTATGCCACTTTCCATCGATGATAGAAACTCGAAGACGATACTACTAGCGCGATAAAAAGAAAAGCTGATTTACAGAAACGAGCACGGGAGGGGAAATACGATTTAACGCTACCGTTCCGGGATCGAGGTCAAAGTGATAGCTACGAAAGTGGCATAAATTCATGTAGACTCCTCCGGTAACAAAGTCGCGTCATTATCCGGATCTAATGCCACGAGAGCTGTATTGTCGTGCAGCTAGATTATGCCAGGCGATTTCGTGTCACGGCTATTGAAAATTTACACCGCTGCCCCTTTCATCGCGCGCGCACGTCTGACTATCGTCGTGCAGCGCGGCTGTTTTATAGATCGACGCGAGGGTGGACGTCGAACTGCAACCGGAAGTTGCAACGCAAAGGAACACGACGAAAAGTGACGTTCTTTCGAAAGAAAGGAAAAAGAGAAAAAGAAGAAGAAGAAGACGGAAAAACTCGTAATCCAGCTTTTCCAGTAATCCGATTTAACTAGGGCCAATCGTCTGGTATCGGTCGTATAACGGAACGAACGATTGCAAAACGGGACCAATCGACGGCATCATCGACAGCTCGAGATTATATTTCCTTCCATTTCGTTCGGGTGATACGATACTAAGTAAGAAAATAAATGTGAAGACTGCGGCAGGGGGAAAGGGGACGAGTCACACAAATTTTTATACTTTACTGAGGAGAAATTTGGGAATGTGGTGTACGCGTTATCAAAATTTCCCTCCAGGTGTTTTCCCTTTTTAAAATTTCAACTCACGTCAAGAATTCGGAACATTTAACTCCGTCTTGTATTTTACATTCTCTCGTGATTGCGTTAGTGGTAAAATTTTATTGAGGAGAAATTTGGAAATGCAACGTTATTAAAATTTCAGAAGTCTCGTCTTTTTTTCTGCAATTTTAATTCGAGAAATACGTAACTTACGTCAGATTTACAAGAACTTCGTGTAGTTGATTTCATCTTGTATTTCACATGTACTCTTGCCATAGCGATAGTGGTCAAATTGAACAAAATTAAAATTCCAAATTGCTATAATCTCCGCTGTACAATGACGCTAGTTAAAAATTAAAAATATCTCTCGTCACAATATTTCCCATTTCGGTTTATAGCCTATTTTCAAGCGACTGATTTTCAACCACGTTAAAATATACTGCTCGTTGATCATCAGTGACGTCGAAAATACATTTTCCTTCTGCGGTCTTCGTACATTATCGCTCGCTCGACTCTCGTCTTTTCGCCATGGAAATAATATTCAAAGCAATTCATGGGAATATTATGTTAGATTCTCTACGAGGTGATTTCTCGCCAGATTATTCTATCAATTCGTTTAAATCGTTCGTGTCAAGGATTGCTACGCACATGCGGACACGCAAGTGTGTATACAAGTTGTTTGAAGATAACCAGAGATGAAGAGCAGAGGTGAGAAAAAGTTGGCGTGAAGCAGGGCTGACGACCAATATTGAAGCGAAGATAGAGAAGTAGACACGTCGGCCTGGATACGTCAGAGTTACAAATCAGAATATTTATCACGAGACTGAGGCTGCTGCGGCGGCTGTGCGTTCGATAAAACGGAGACGCCTTCGGCGCCGTCGCGCGTCCTCGGCTTCTCGATACGCGTGCACCTGTCGTCTTGACGAGAAATGAAATCTAGTCGCGTGTCGATAAAGGGCTTCTATCCGCGTATTGCCCCGGTGTATCGTCGACGTGAAATTCCGTCGGAACTTCCGAGGAATGGAAAACGGAGCAAGAATCTGCCGGTTCAACGCCCCGTCGTTCTGGCGTCCCTCAACCAGAGGCTACGTTCGAATCTTTTTGCCCTGCGAAGAATCCGCAGGAAAATCTTCGACAAACTATGGAGAATTTTGTTAAAGTCAAGTTTCAAACATATCCGTGATAAGAGAAATATAATTCGACTCTGAGGTGCGAAGATCAATAAACTGGCAAATACCAGAGATTACAATCTCATTAAAGTCGAAAAATCCACAGAGAAATCATCGACGAGGATTAACAAGTATTCGGACAAACAATCTCGATCAAAGTTCAACTTGAAGCACGTCTACGACGAGGCGAGTCCGTAATTCAACCCCGAAGCTGCCGATCTGGTATACACCCCCGTAACCACATCCACGCGAGTTCTGCGCGTTTGCGAAACGTGAAACAACAAAAAAAAAAAAAAAAAAAAAAAAGAAACGGCGAGAGGAGATGCTTCGTGAGGAGGCAGAGAGCAACAGAGAGTTGCATAGTTACGATTCACCGAACTCGGTAGAGAGACGAGAGCCCGCGAGAGAAAGCGATGGCGCGAGCGGAACGTAACGACAAACAGAGGAGGCGAAAAAGCCGATGGACCTTAGCCGGTGTTGCGCGAGAACGAGAGCGGCGAGTCTGGTCTCGAAAGCAGTTCGTCGAGAGATCACGGCAGCAGGAGCAACAGAAGGTACGGAACGGCAGCAGGAACGGCAGCAGTTGAACGTGGGGATCATGCCTTCGTTCCCCGCGTCCTTGCTTCCAGCCCCACTTTTCCATACTCTCCATCCCACTTTCTGCCCGGCGCATCGATCGTTCTCTCTCTCTGTGTGTGCTCTCTGGTCTTTCTTGCTTGGTTTGGTGGCTCGCGGGCCAGAGGGAGACAGAGACAGGGAGGGGGGAGTGAGAAAAAGGGTGGTCGGGGGAGAGGCGTGAGAGACGTCTCTGGCGGGAGCATTCGCGGATCGTTGGCAGGAGTATGGATACGAGCGCGAGGGGGCGAAAGAAGGGAACCCGAAGGGGGAAGAGACAGCGCGAGTTGGCGGGAGGGGTGGGGTGGAGGGAGAGGGAGAGGATTTGGATCGCGGAACGGTTTTGGTGGGGTGCGAACGGTGTTGGTGCTTGGATAGCACATGGAAGGGATAATTAAACGGACACAAACGTGAACACGAACACTGGTGTACGGAAGGACGAAGAAAGGTTACCATGGCGACGTGGATGGGATCCGGCCAATCCCGATCTGGCTGGTAGGCGTGGCTTGTACATTGGCCCCCCGAGCGCCAGTACAGCCGTCTCTTTTTCTCCAGCAACCCCTCCGTTGGTGTCTAGAACCCGGCGGCAGGGAGAGGGGACGAAAACTCGGGAGTGGAAGTGAAAGAAAGAGAGAGAGAGAGGGAGACAGGCAGACGGAGTGGAAGTGAAAGGGAGAACAAGGTAGAGGTAGGTCGCAAGAGCCGGCGGGACTACCCGGTTGCAACGGGCGCGTACAAACGTATCATGCTGGGTAGGGCCGGTGCCGAGATGCCGGCTTGTAAACGAAACCAGTTTGCTATCCGATACGATCCAGGCAACAGCGGCTTCGCGTGATATCCCCACGGCCGAGGAGAACGTCAACGTGTGCTTTCGCGTTCGACGTGACCCCCGTAGGATATCCATCTCGGTGAACGTTACTTGGACCAGGACGCACCTGACCAGGATAGCGCTCGGGGGTGAGATTCAGTCGGCGAGAAACGAAGCGGCGGACAACAGCCACCGGTCACTCGTCGCGAACCACCCATTCCCGAGAGTTATCTACGATCGATTGTGCTTGATCGTTTGCTATTTCTCGAAAAGAAAGAGAGACAGACAGACAGACAGACAGACAGAAAGAGAAAAGAACACGCACGTACGTATCACATACACACGCGCGCGCGTGTTGTGTATATTGGTCTCGTCTCGTCGCTCAAGACAACCCGCCGCGGAGACAACCTTTGTCGTTCCTTGTTGTCAGAAACATTCTTAAAAAACTGGATCCTTCCAGTTCTTCTAGGACTGGTGAACATTCGAAACTTTCGGTTGAAAGCAGCAATACATTCGCACAGTGTAAACAATTGGTGAAGTGACCGAGTTGATCCGTGTCGATCCGTGTCGATCGAGTGATCGGGAATAAGAAAGAAGTTAAGTAATGACAAGCCTCCGAACCGGGACGACGACAACACGATGAAAAGCGCAAAAAGCAAACACAAATCGAGTCGGAGAGTTTCCTGAGTCCGACACGCCGGTTGTTCGTATCCAACGGTGACATCGATGCTCTGAAGAGGTCGTCGCTGTTCCGCAGCGCACGGGGGTAAGTGGATCCTGGAACGGAAAGGATCAGGCACGATTGAGCCAGAAGAGATGTCAGCCGTAGCACCAGCGGGGACTGGTGCTACAGCACCACCTGCGAACGGTCCAATTGTACCTGCTCCGGTCTTCGCCTTGCCAACGTTGTCGTTCACCGTCGGCCAGGTTGCCACGGTTTGCGAGACACTGGAGGAAAGCGGCGACATCGAACGGCTGGCCAGGTTCCTCTGGAGTCTTCCTGTGGCTCATCCGAACATCCAGGAATTAAATCAAAGCGAGGCTGTGCTGAGAGCCAGGGCGATCGTCGCGTTTCACTCAGGACATTACAGGGAACTGTACGCCATACTGGAGAGGCACAAGTTCACCAAGGACTCTCATGGTAAGCTCCAAGCGATGTGGCTCGAGGCGCATTATCAGGAAGCCGAGAAACTTCGAGGGCGACCGCTCGGCCCCGTCGACAAGTACAGAGTCCGAAAGAAATTTCCGTTACCGAGGACGATCTGGGACGGCGAGCAGAAGACTCATTGTTTCAAGGAGAGAACCAGATCGTTGTTGAGAGAGTGGTACCTTCAGGATCCGTATCCGAATCCTGGCAAGAAGCGAGAACTAGCTGCTGCTACGGGGCTCACGCCTACCCAGGTTGGCAATTGGTTCAAGAACAGGAGGCAAAGGGATCGGGCCGCCGCTGCGAAAAATAGGTACGTTCACGACATATTCTTTAACATATAAACATCGTTAACAAATCGGTTCCATTAAGAAAATGCCAAGAAATTTGAATCGACGGAATTAACGTAAGTAATTCGGAGTTGTATTTTCGAGGTCTCTCCTACGAGAGAAGTGTGTAACGCGATGACTCAATATCCAGGCAGGAAAATCTATCTACAAGATCCAAGAGAATTTTTTACAACAATCTGAGTAGGATAAACAAATTCGTTCGTCCACTCGTGTGCCGTTTTCGTACGCGAAAACGATTGCGGTTGGTGGCAGGACGCGAAAGTTTTGTTCATTAAGTAGCGTTTAATGGAAGTTAATCGCGAAACGATTAGTGGTTTAGGTCCCTTTAGTCAGATTGTTGTGCTCTGTCCTCGGCAAACGAGCCTTTGTGCCTAGTCCCAAGGCCCCCGCGTGGAGGGTCGCGTAATTTCATTTTGACGTCCGACGGAGGGTCGCTGCCGTCGGGCGAACAACGATTTTCGAATTACGTCTTTCAAATTGTATTTCGTCGATGCTTTGCCTCTCCTTTCGTTCCACGATGCATAGCCGAGTCCTGCCCAAATCGACTCTGAACACCCAGTCCCAGTCAATTTCGTAGCGCTCTTCTGTTTCAAACAGGATATGAAACGAGCTATCGAGTGATATAACCGTGTTCTATCTTTCCATATCTTCCTCCATGTCTCTGACAGAGAGACATTTCCTCTTCACAGTCGTTTCTATCTCGTGATCTCGTTATTGGAAAAAATTCAAATAATTCTAAATTCGTTTTATCCCACGTGCTAGAGTATCTTGCCTGGGGAAATTTTCTCTTTCTTTTTTTTTAAATTCATTTTGAAATTTCGTAGCGTTCTTCTTTCTCGTTCGAGGGACAAGCTATTGTCGAACGATATACATATAATCGTTCAGTATCTATTCGACCGAGTTATTCGAGATAATTTAAATAACAACCGATCGTTTAAATAATTGTAAGCTGTGTCGCTCTTTATATAGCCAACATTTTTCGAAATTGATTTCGTCGTGAAAAAAAGATATATTATCTTGATAGAGAGAGAGAGAGAGAGAGAGAGAGAGAGCAGTACGTCCCGTGTTATCTGTCGTTTTCGATTATTTTACTGTTTCTAAAACAAAACCACGATTGATCGTCGCTGAGAGGTCGATGTTCGAGAGACGATCGTAGAAAAAGCGACGGCACTACATGTTGTTTCGATTCGAAGCACCTCAATCTCAGGTAACGTCTGGTGGTAGTATTGTCCGGCAGTATTGTCGTGAATGAACAACAGCGGCAACATTGTTTTCCCCGAAATAGGGAAATTTTATGCCGGGTTTTTCCCGTGGCCTGCGCCTCCGTCCTTGTCTATTGAATCTACCTTTTCACTTTGTTTCTCTCTCTCTCTCTCTCTCTCTCTTTTGACAAGACCTCAGCAAACACGGCCCCGAAATTTCTCTGTGATTTACGACTTTGGAGAAGAAACGTTCCAGACGAAATGTTTCAGAAACTCTGTGTGCTTCTTGCCATGCTTCTTGCATTGTCAATGCATGTTCGCGAAATTTGTAACGTATCTGAAAACTGAATATTTCTGTCTGTTGAAAGAACTTTGAAATTCTTTATATATCATATATAGTCGTATTCGCGTAACTGAAGGGTGACTGTTCGCGAAGAAACAAGTCGATAATGAAGAATCAGGTGAGTAAATTCAATCTCGATCGAAATTAGTCTCGACCGACAGCACGAAACGCGAGCGATTCTACTGTCCCTGTTCAGTTATCCAGATTACCACTCGATAGATTTGTACATATAAGTTCTTTCCCTTTCTCTGTTTGATTGGAATGATTTCGGGACATGTTCACTTGACGTTCTGAGAGAAACATGTGACAATTAAATTGCTACATTAATGAAAGGAATATCAAGAAGTGACTGTCTCTCTTGTAAAACTGATATTACAAATCTACATTTACAAATCGGATCAAATACTCTCTATTTACAATTTGTACACTCCTCTGCGCAAAAACTGACTTATTTCTATCGCAAGAAGGAATTGAATTGATCACAAAAATAATCTGTATCATTTCGAAAGTTTATTCTTTCACCACGAATAAGGCAAATTTATCATTTGCCGACCACTTTGAGTTTCACGACGACGAGACGCAACAAGCGATATACATCTCCTATTTTTCCCCAGGAATTATTGAAAAAAAAAAAAAAAGAAAAAAAAACTTGAAAATCCACTCTCGGACAACCGGACGAAAGTTCCTTTTTAAACAAACGTATCGTTTCGCTTCGCAAATGGAATCGGGGATTCGTTTCCCCCCCCCTCCCCCCTCGTCCGCCCTTTTCTATCCGGTCGGCTAGTAAATTCGCTGGTCTAAAATCGTCTCGACCCAGATTCTTGGTGGCGCGCGGACATCTGTAATTACTCTGCCCTGAATGAAGTCATTAATAGTTATTACCTACGTCTATGCTGTGTAATTGATATATCGTTAACGGGTCGAGGATCGTCCGACTGTACGCTGGTCTAATTGATCTTGATGAGGCCGCGCAACGGGAAAAAGATTACACGTTCCTCAGAGGCTCGAGCTGTCTTTATTGTGCATTCAGATCGTTTTCTTACGGCCTCGCGACTTCCCACGGATTCGCGGATAACTTGGCGGATAATTTGCATTTGAACAACCGCTTTCGAAATCCCTCCACCCGGCCCGCGTCGCGTTCCACCATCATCGTGTTCGCATTCGATAGCGATGATTTCGGTTCGATTAGTGAGCCCTCTAAACGAATTCAACGAGTTCAGCGCTCTAGCTTAGCTATATCGAGGCGCGTTGCGTCCTCAAAGTGAAGAAAGTAATTGCAGGCCAGACGCGCCGCGTCTCCGATTGCCGTTTAATAGTTAGCCGTCGCTGGCTCCTAGCTTTCGAGCTCTCAGGTTTTGTAAACTTCGAACTCCGAATGTTGAGTGTTGTAGATGTCAGATGCTCAGGACTCGGACTCTGTTGATCTCTAATTCTTTTTTTTTTTTTTTTTTTTTTTTTTAATTTGAAACCTCGAAACTTGACTTTTTCCCTCTTTTACAGCTTTTAAATGCCGAATTCGAAAGGTTCGAACTTCGATGGTTCGATGGAATTCTCATAGGACATTTTCCTCGATTGTGCGGCATTTTCGAGCATGTGACAACGTTAAATAATCAATAAATGCCTCGAGAGGAGCACAAAAGCGGCTCGCTTGTTTTCCTCCGATTTTCAAATCGGCGAAATGAAAAACACGTCAATTAACAGTGAAAACACGGGGGGGGGGGAGGGAGATAAAAAGTGCTGAGAAACACGGAAAGAAGGATTCGTTATGGATTTGCAAAGAAATTCTAAATGCTCGGATGACCAATTTCCCCTTTACTTTCCCGGCGATAGAAGAGCCGTACATTCTAGTCAGGTTATCCGACAATGGCCGTGCACCGTACCTATCGTTACCCCCGGCGTAACGACATTCCGTTTCTGGCCTGGAGCCACATTTTCCTGCACGTAATCCTGCGAATACCCCCCGGACGAATCCTCCGCCTCTTCCCTTACGTACGTACCTACATACATCCTGGCCCTCCGCGCGAACCAAAAGCCACGGGCTGCTTCGCTAAAAAACATCGATTCGCGTATTGAACTCGACGTCCGTACGAAATACTTCTATACATCGCCGTTATCCCTTCCTCCTCTCTCCTTCTCCTCTTCTTTTTTTTCCTTTTTCCTGGTGTGTTCCACCCTGTCCCATTCCCACTTGTCATCCGCTAGCGCTCGGAACGTCCGAGCGCGGCTTTTTGTTTTTTTTCACTCCGCCGCAAGAATTAGCCGTAAACCCTCTCGGAACGACGTAACCGTACAAAACAGATCTACGGCTCGAAAATACCAGGCGGGGAAGCCATCATCGATTTTAGATTTGGTTTCTCGAATCGGGGCAACGATTAAACACACGCTGTTTCGCAACATGGGATTTCGTACGACGTGGAGAAAAAAGAAATAAAATAAATAAAAGGAACGCAAAGAGATGATCTTGCCGCGTGTATATGCGTACACGTACATTCTCACCGAGAAGTTTTCTTTTCCTTCTTTTTCTCAAACGAAAAATCAATTCTTTTGTACAAATGTCGCAATTGCGAGTCACATCGCCGAATCACGTATTTCGGACTTTTATAAAAATTCACAGTCCTTGGAATTAATCGGAAAGAGAAGATCTTGACGGAAAATTACTTTTCTGAATAATATCTTTGTATATTTCATTTATTTTGGATAATTTATGTTAGTCGTTCAATGTTGCTCAAAAATTCTACCAGAAACGCATAAAAATCCGCGGTCTGTTAATCGCAATTTCGTGCCACAAACATGGAATATTTATATGTATTGAAGAAGAAAGCCGTTTTGAAATCTCTCCGAACTTTCGAGCGACGATATGCAGCTACACACGCATACCCACGCACACGCACGATCGTTTCACGGATAAAACGTTATCGCAACGCGAAATTCCCTTAGTTATGCATTTTCAGCAGGCGAGGTAATACAGGGGAGAGAGGGGGGAGGTTTTTCTCTCTCTTCCATCGTCGGGTTATAGTCGTCGTCATTTCGTCGTTCGGGGTAGGTTAGGTAGAGACACTGTAGACAGGATACAGTGCCCGCCCCGAGGATCCTGCAAGGTCCTTTCAGGAACGTCGATCCGCATACTAGCAGCCTCGCGGTATATTTTCGCGGTCCAGCGAGCGAGTTATTCAATATGCTCAACCCCGAAAGCCCCGGAGCAATCTCCGTGCTCGCACGTACTTGCATATATGTATACACCTATGTACCTTGTCTGAACTCTCTCGTGTCTGTGTGTTCTCTCTCTCTCTCTCTCTATCTCTCTGTATACGTATGTGTGTGTTTCTACATACGTGCGACTGAACGCCGTATGCTCGTCTCTATGTAGGAGCTATATGTTACGAGGACGAGCTTGGGACACGTACGTTCTGTCTGCCGGTACTCGGTTATACGAGCGCAATCGGTCACGTTCTGAACCGCGCTACATTGCGGCAACTTGCAGATCGCCAACCTCGAATTCGTAACTAGGAATATCGCGTATTTTCAGCGAGTTGTTCGTACAGCTATAGGTGGGGAGAGAAACGAGGGGTGGAGTGGATTTTCAAGATTGATATTTAAGTCATTCGCAAATTGGCGACGCACTGCGATGTTACGTATGATTTACCTACCAGCAACGTAACGCGCGTGTCGTGCAAGGGAATCCGTCCTGTCGTTGTCAGACGAACATATTGCAAAGTAGTCGTAGAAGCGAGAAAGAGTAAAGAAAAAGTTGGGTAAATTTAAAAAATGAAGCGTACCGGTCTCTGTATAATTTCCACCAACGATGCAACGGCTGCGTCGCGTAAGGGGATCCATCCTGTCGTGGCCGGACACTACTGGAAAGTAGAAACAAGACCGAATAGAAAATATTGTATGTATTATAAAATATAGTCTCGAAACGAGTAGTCCAAATTTGCAATCCTTTCCTCGAGATTCCCCCTCCCCACTCAAAGTTTGTAATCTCCGAAAAAATTTGAAAGACAATTTATTACCGATTTCTCTCGATCCTGACGTGTGCTAATATACAATCGAAAAACGAGATAATCGCAAGATTTTCGTTCGCGGGACGTAGGTTATTAAATTAAGGGAAATAATAGCGTCGAAATTTTCAAAGATATCCGCGATTCAAAGATATCGAGGGGGATGGTGGCACGGAACGCGTTCCTCGAATTCGCAAATTTTCGCGTCGTACGTATTACACGCACGTTAGGTGGCGAAGGAGTGGCGAGGCTTTTCACAGGGATGCCGAGGCAGAGGTAGAGGGGATAACCACCTCAACGACCCTCCGCGTTGCCGGCTTTTCGGGGGTGGCTTAGCTCGAGCGTGTTTCACCTCTCCTCTTTCGCTGTTGCCTTCGCTTCTGAAGTTATCAGATTTTGATAAAGTCCCCGGTGTATTAGAGAGCCGGCGCTGTTTGCGTTTCCACGCAGATCCTGTCTGGCTGCCACCTCGTTCACTCCACCCTCGTCACTTTCTCTCTCTCTCTCTCTCTCTCTCTGTTTTTCTCTCACCTTGCTCCTTTCTGTTTCTGTTCCATCAGGATCTGCGGAACACTGTGTTACTCGCTGTTTTTTCCCCCTTTTTCTTTGTGCACGGCTCGACGAATTCTCGACGCGCAACGACGAGTGTTGCGCTTCTTTTCTCTTTATCGCGGCGCGTCTCGCGACAGGGATGGGGAAGGAGAAGAGCGGAGGATACGAAGGAAAATTGCTCGTTACAAACACATACGCGCGTATCCACGACGATTATTTTTTTCCTAATGAAAGTTCCTTTTCTCCCCCCTCGCGGAGTCGCGGCGGAAGAGAGACTTCGATTAGCGTGCGATTCGGATAATGCGGTTGGCTCGCCGGCGCGTAAACGGCAAAGAATTCCACTTTAATTTTCAATAAGCGGCGCAAAGCGAGGATTTGCCGCGGCGCGCCGTTTCCTGCAGTGAGCCATCGCGGCAATCATTATCGCGAGAATACCTGTTGGCTCGTTCACTCGCGACCGTCAGACACGAGTCTCCTTCCGTTATCTTGATGACTCTAAACGAGAAAGAAATACAAGGAGACGCGAATGTC